GTTAGTTCCTCTAGACTGATTTTGTAGTCTGTTTGCTCTTGAATATTTTTTTGTTTATTTTCTTCTTCTAATATCCATGTAGCTGACTCGTTATGCTTAACTTATTATTTTGACCAAATTCCTTGCCAGAATAATGTAATGTCTTTGTTTTGTTGGAGGTATAAACTTTTGATTCTTTATTATATTTGAGGCTGTTGTAGAACCGTTTTTCATTTGTGTTAAAGAGAAAGTTATCCATTTTTCTACTATTGGATTCCTTGTATCTATGTAAGCGTGCTGCATATACCGACAATTTTCAATTCTAATATGCCATTTAAGTTTCCTATGAGACTTTTCGTTTATTCTGTTTTTTAGCTATGATCTTTTGATTGTTGTATTTCAAGATGGTGATTGCGACAGAGTAAATTATGGTTTGAAGGTATTCAAGGCATAATTCTTTTTTCAGATAGTTTTTTAATATGTTTTCATTCATTATTTTTATAAAACTGTTAGTTTTTCCTGTAAAAATCAGACGTGGTAACTGTGGGCGTTTTTTTTAGGTTCGCTATGCATTCATGTTAGGATATTTGTCTCCATTTCGTTGACTATAGATTGGTTTCTAGATTAAGTTCTTCTCATTCACATGTAAGAATGATGGTAGACGGGTTCCTTCTGTTTTGGTTGCTCATTAAGGTACAGATACTTGGTTTGTGTCTATTCTTCCAATATCCTTTGCTGCATCTTTTTCCAGGTTGATTGTGTTTACGTTTATTATTTTTGCTACCTCTTCTTTAATGCTTTGTAGGTCATGAGTTGTTAGTCTTTTGTTGTTTATTATTACTCGCTTTTATCTTTGTATATTGTTTCAGATGTGGCTGTTTTTTTGTAAAGAGTTCGAATAATTCTGGTCGGAATCCTATTTTTATGATTTCAAGTTGAGTAACTTGAATAGCAACTCATGACAGTTTTATTAATTTCATCGGTCCATGTCATGCGTTGCCGAAAACGTCCTGCTTTGGTGGTCACAAGTAAATCCTGCGAAACACTTTCAGCAATTTCTGAATCTTCAAGGTTTCTTATTTCTTGATGTAGTTTACTTGAGATGGTTGAAGAATTATTTTTGATAAGATTTTCAGGTGTTATGAGTTCAAAATGTCCAGCTTGTCGGTTGCCTATTAGAAGAAGGTGCTTTTATTGTAATTTTCTTTCGAGCTGGTTTTCGCTGCATCAAATATAAATGGATATTCAGGTTGTAAATTTCTGATATTGCATAAATCTCCATATTATGTACCAACCTGTGACATATACTGACAGTAGTCTACAACATCCTTTAAGCAATCTTCCTCTTAGTCTTGTACTATATATATTTGAAGTGAAGTCCAATGTTCTTGAATATAGGTTTATCTGACAGCATTTGCTGATGATTATCATGATTGCCCTCTAGATATTAACTAATGGCTATGAATAGACAATTTCCATCTCCTATTATGTCTGATCTTAAAAACCTTTCATCTTTTATTTCGCTGGTTCTTACAGTTCCATTATCCAGTAGTAGTGCCGTTTGCTCCACTCCTCTTTGGATCAGGCTGGGCTTCTGGATGGTTTCGAGAAGGATCAGCCTGCAATCCTCCGCCACCCTGCTTTTTATTAGTAGTAGCTTTTCTCGCACCTAATGAGTTGCTGGCACATTGGTGGTTCCCTTTTAGTCGACTTCAACGACAGACAGGGACTACCGTGGGGACATTCTTTATACACTCGTACCCCACACGGGGTTTATTATTATCATCATTCAAATGTCTTCTCGGATTCAACCGGTTTCTCCCTAGGCAGACGGGTGGGTATCAAGTCTACCTAAGTGAAATAACTACCTACTTGAGGAAAGTTCGGGTTATATTGCATGTTTTTAGTATTATGGCTTTCTGTATGTACTCATGTATCTAGCTGCAGATGTTTTAGATGTTGAGTGAATGCTTTATGTGTTATGCCTGTTGCGGACATTATAAATGGTATGATGTGGACTTTTTTACTTTTTGCTGATGTTCCTGTAGGTAGTGCTATGTCCATTAGATATGTGTTTTGATTTACCTTATCTATCAGAGTGAGATCTGGTCTGTTATGCTGTACAGTTTTGTCCGTGCGTATGTCGTAGTAGAGTTTGGAACTCTTGTTCTCAAGTATACTGTCTGGCGTGTAGTGGTAATATGGTGTTTCTGTGGTGATTAGCCCATATTTATGGGCCAATGCTTGATGTAATTACTTTTAATTGCAATGATGTTTCTATCTGTGTATGACGTGCCTGCCAGTATTTTACATCCTCCTACTACATGATCAATAGTATACTGGTGTTGGTGACAGTTTCTATCGCTTGTCTCTATATTTTTCAATATATATTTCTGGTAGTTCCTGGTCGCTATCACCTGATCCTGTATGAGGAGTATATAAAGCCTTCTGTTTCTGGATAGAGTTTTTATTTCTGTAGCCATCTTCATGATTCTTGTTTTTGAATCTGTTCGTTTGTTCATGATGTACAAGTGTTTTCCGTGTAGCTTCTTTTGTGACCATTCCTCCATCCTCTGTTATTGTGTTTGTATTTGTTGTGATTGTGTTTCAGACTGAGAGAGGTCAAGTGGTGTATATTCTTTATCTGCTTGCGCGACTGCTGAGTGTAATGAAGTTTGCTTGATGTGGAAGTATTTTCTCAGGGCTTGTGTTTGTATCTGCTTTGCATGGAGTATGTGAATGTCTACTAGCCCTATCCCGCATTCACATGAGTTTTGGTGTAGTTTCCTATTCCTCGTCAGTTCAGATCTTGTGAGGATGTTTATGTTTTCCAGGTCTGCTTTTGTCAATTTAATTATTCAGAAGGAATATGTAGGTATGTAAATATATGTTTGGTCTCCAAATGTTCATGATGGTTGACAAGAAATTTTTAATAGCTGGATGTATTTTATTTATTTATTAAATTTGCAGCACCTTGTTTAATCATGAATGTGGTACAGAGCTGAACACTTTTTTCTAATTTATGTAACATGCTATAAGATTTCTTTGTTGCTTTTCTGTTTGCTTCATTATTATGGAGTCTATAATTAGTTGTTCCTTACAACCTTGACTGTTTTTTTCGCAACCCTTTTGTTCTTCTGTGATTATATTATATTTTTGAAGGTGTTGTTCTATTTTTTTGCATATCACCGATGTAAGTAGGTAACTATTTTATAGAGGGTCGGCAAACATGTTATTGGTCGATAATTAGCCGGGTTCTCTGTGTCATGGTTTTTCGGTTTTATGTATGTTTTCCCTTGCATTAAGATTGTGGAAATACTTGTGGGTGCTCTATTAATTTATTTATTTGTTTCGTTAAGTAGGTACTTACTTATATGTTGATGTGAATTTTTTGTACCAAAAGTTTTGTATTTGGTCATTGGTCTGTTCCTGGGCATTTCCAGTTATGTGTGCTGTTTATTATGTTTACCAATTCTTCTATTGTTACTTCGAATTCTGCTTGTTATTTGGTGTCTTTGTGTCTCTCTTCTTCTTTAATCCATGTTGCTGTGCGATTAAGTTGCTCAGGCTCTGAACATATTCCTTCCCAATATTGTGTTACTTTTTCTTTGCTGGGTGGTATTATTTTAATTTCCTCTGGGTTGGTCATTTTTCTGTAGAATAATATCTTTATCATTATCATTATTATTATTATTATTATTACCGGCTCTCGAGTTGCTGAGTAGTTTCCCTATAGACAATCAAGGGCGGGTATTATAGTTCAAATTATTGGCTCTTAATTAGCTGGAAAATGTTCTATAGCTTCAACAAGGCCGTAGTCAGGGGGTGGTATTGGAAGCAGAGCCCTTTAAACGATGTTGCCTTACCTTTGAAGAAGGACATGCGTTAAAGTTTCTCTAGGAAATTTAAGAGTAGGTAGATAATGAATAGGCATGAAATCGACTAAGTGCGAGAATAAGTGTTTCCGGAAATGCATAAATTTATTTAATTTTGGATTTTGTTTACTAGAAATGATATTTATAAGCGAATTTGCTTTCAAACCCATTATCCCCATTTTGATTACCTACTTATAAAAATTTATTGTATGCTCTATGTCAAATTTGTCATGGCATGTCCTAGGTATCACAAATTTGACTCTAGCTACAGCTCTGGTATCAAATTCTACTTTGAAATTCAAATTTAAATTATTACCAACTCTTGAGTTGCTGGCTTATTTCCCTAGACAACCAAGAACCAGTAATAGTTCAAACTTTAATTATCACTGGCACTTGAATTGCTAAGGAATTTTTCTAAACAATCAAGAGCCGGTAATGGTTCAAATTTTGATTATTACTGACTCTTGAGTTGCTGGGGAATTTCTTTAGAGAATCAAGTATCAAGAATAGTTCAAATTTTGACTATTACCGGCTCTTGATTTGTTGGAAAATTTCCCTAGACAATCAAGAATCGGTAAAAGTTCAAGTATTGATTATTACCGGCTCTTGATTGGTTGGGAAGTTTCTCTAGACGATCAAGAACCGGTAATAGTTCAAATTTTAATTATAACCGGCTCTTGACTTCCTAGAAAGTTCAAATGTTGATTTTTACCGGCTCTTGAGTTGCTGAGGAATTTTCCTGGATAATCAAGAGCTAGTAATGGTTCAAACTTTGATTATCATTGGTTCTGGAACTGCTAGGGAATTTCTCTAGACAATCAAGAGTCAGTAATAGTTCAAATTTTGATTATTACCGGCTCTTGATTTGCTGGGGAATTTCTCTAGCCAATTAAGAGCCGGTACTAGTTTGTTTTGATTATTATTGCCTCTAGGTTAGCTAGAAGTTTTCTACAATTTCCAATTCATCTTTGAAACCGAAATTTTGATTTATACCGGCTCTTGATTTGCTGGGGAGTTTCTTTAGACAATCAAGAGCTGGTAATAGTTCAAATTTTATATATTACTCTGGCTCTTGAGCAGCTATTTGATTCCTAGTTCAATTCACACCGCTAAAAATATCATTTACCATCCAAAATTCAATCATTCAATCAATTAAATTAAAACCCAGATGCATTACATCAGACAATAAACATCCTACGCCATTAAACCTGACGACCTTGCTAATTTAAAACTAATTTTTGTGTTGTTTTTTTTTGCACTTGTGTTTGTTTAGATGCATCGCAGATTATAGAGAGTAAGTTATAAATTCCTGTTTTGAACTCCTATCAGCCCAGACCTTATACAATTTCATCATTTTTTTTTTTTTTTTGGTTGAAGTAAGGTAGGTAGTTCCAACAATAAACAAAACAAGTTTAATCTGTCTAGCCTTTTCAACCTTGATGATTTTTCAGCAGTCATTTGCAGTCAACTGTTTGCAATGATCTGGTTGATTTTGCTGTCAATCACGGCGATTTTGCTATGGTACAACTTCGTAAGACCCATGAACCATTTCACCAGAATGGGGGTGAAACAATCAAAGCCTTGGCCCTTTTTCGGCGACAATTGGCAAGTGGTTTTCAAATATATGAGCTTCAACGAATTAATTGAGTGGGCTTATAATTTATATCCAAACACAAGGTGAGTATTTAAAATTTTATCTACAACTAACTATTATTTTGTATATACATATACTTAGATACTCTGGATTTTATCAATTTGCTTTGCCTTCGCTGATCTTAAGGGATCCAGACTTGATTAAACAAATTACTATAAAGGATTTTGATCATTTCACTGATCATAGGCCTTTCATTGACCCTGAATCAGACCCCTTTTGGGGTTCGAATTTGTTTTTCATGGGAGGGTCCGCTTGGAGGGAAATGAGAGCCACCATAAGTGGAACTTTTACCAGCAGCAAGATGAAGTTTATGTTTAATTTAATGGACGATGCTGCTGAGACTTTTGTCAAGTTTTTCGTTGATAAAAAACAAGAGGTGCTTGAAGTTGATATGAAAGATATTTTCACCAGGTAATAATGAATTTTTTTCTGGGATTATTTTGTTTGGAGTTTATTTTTTAGATACACAAACGATGTTATTGCAACAATTGCCTTCGGAATCAAGGTGGACTCGTTGAACGAGCCCAACAATGAGTTTTACTCAATGGGTAAACGAGTATTCAATTTTACTGGGATTTTGAGCAGGCTTAAGTTTTTTGCAGTTTTTGCTTTGCCATCTTTATTCAAAGTAGGTACCTACTTCACTCTAAATTACCATTTATTTAAAAAAAAACATAATTCTAGATGTTTAAAATGAGTGTCTTTGACGCAAAGGCAACCAAGTTTTTGAAGCAAGTTGTCTTCGATAATATCAACGTAAGAAAGGAAAAGGGCATTGTAAGACCAGACATGATTAATATTTTATTGGAAACTAGAAAGGGTTTTAAAGAGGAAACTGAAGATGTTGTTGAAACTGGATTTGCTACTGTTAAGGAAACTGCTGATATATCAAAATTCAAACAAAAATACCTAACAGACCAAGACGTAGCATCTCAAGCCTCAGTTTTCTTCGTAGCTGGCTTTGACTCAATAGCAACAGCTATGTCTTTCAGCGCTTACGAACTAGCTATGAACAAAGACGTCCAAACCAGACTCAGAAACGAAATAATTTACACTCAAAAAACCACCAAAGGCAAACTCACCTATGAAGCCTTACTTAAAATGAAATATTTAGACATGGTCCTATCTGAAGTAATCAGACTGTGGCCACCAGCCCCTGGAATCGACAGAGTGTGCACCAAGCCTTACACAATCGAACCAATTACCCCTGACGAAAAACCCCTCCACCTAAAAAAAGGCGACATCCTGTTTTTACCCATCGTAGGCCTCATGCACGATCCAGAATATTTTCCAGAGCCGGAAAAGTTCGATCCCGAAAGGTTTTCAGATGAAAATAAAAACAGTATTAATCCGTATACTTATATACCGTTTGGTTCTGGACCGAGGAATTGTATCGGGTCGAGATTCGCTTTGTTGGAGGTTAAAGTTTTACTGTATTATTTGCTGTTGAACTTTGAGATTGAATTGACCGAAAGGATGAAGGTGCCGTTGAAGTTGGACCCGGCCGCGGTTAATCCTATAGCCGAGGGTGGGTTTTGGTTAGGGTTGAGACGTGTACAACAAAATTGAATAATGTTAGATGCTTTTTGTAATAAAGATTTATTTAGTTAGGATTTGTGTATGATTTTTTAGCAGTTTATCTATATATATCAAGATGATAAAGATGAATCTACTATTGGACGTCTGCCTTAATTTTCGACATTTCCCTTGATTGAGTCGAGAATTTTTGTGCTTATTCTGCTCTAACATGCTATAATTTTATAACAATAGAGCCCAAAATACCAGAGTTACGATTTTTTGAATCTTATATGGACACACTGAGTGGGTCCTTCTATTATAACTTCTACCTCCATTTTCGACCTTTCTCCTGAAAAACTGGTTCACCTGATAGAGTCGAATATTTTTTTGTATATTGAAGAAGCATTAAGCTCTAAGATACTACAATTTTGTAACGATAGAGCACAGGACAACCGAGCCACGATTTTTTGAATCTGATAAACATACCGAGGGGATCTCTGCTATATGACTTCTACTTGCTTTTTCGACTTTTCTTCTGGAAAACTGGTTCATCTAATAGAGCCGAATATTTTCTCATATATTCGGAAAGCATTAAGCTCTAAGATACTACAACTTTGTAACAATAGAGCCCAGAAACACAGAGCTACGATTTTTTGAATCTGATAGACACACTGAGGGGCTCTCTGCTATATGACTTCTACCTGCTTTTTCGACTTTCTCCTGGAAAACTGGTTCATCTACTAGAGCCAAATATTTTCCTGTATATTAGGATTACTTTTAGCTCTAGGATATTAAAATTTTGTAAAATAGAGCCTAGGACAACGAAGCTACGATTTTTTGAATCTAATAAACACACTGAGGGGATCTCTACTATAGGACTTCTACCTACATTTTCGACTTTTCTCCTGGAAAACTGGTTCATCTAATAGAGCCGAATATTTTCCTCTATATTGGGATTACTTCTCGCTCTAGGATATTATAATTTTGTAACATAGAGCCTAGAACAACGGAGCTACGATTTTTTGAATCTGATAGACGCACTGAGGGGATCTCTGCTATAGGACTTCTACCCGCATTTTCGACTTTTCTCCTGGAAAACTGGTTCACCTAATAGAGCCGAATATTTTTTTGTATATTGAAGAAGCATTAAGCTCTAAGATACTACAATTTTGTAACGATAGAGCACAGGACAACTGAGCCACGATTTTTTGAATCTGATAGACACACTGAGGGGATCTCTGCTATATAACTTTTACCTGCATTTTCAACTTTTCTCCTGGAAAACTGGTTCACCTAATGGAGCTGAATATTTTCTCATATATTCGGAAAGCATTAAGCTCTAAGATACTACAACTTTGTAACAATAGAGCCCAGAAACACAGAGCTACGATTTTTTGAATCTGATAGACGCACTGATGGGATCTCTGCTATATGACTTCTACCTGCATTTTCGACCTTTCTCCTGGAAAACTGGTTCACCTAATAGAGCCGTATATTTTTTGTATATTGGGATTACTTTTAGCTCTAGGATATTATAATTTTGTAACAATAGAGCCTAAGACAACGAAGCTACGATTTTTTGAATCTAATAAACACACTGACGGGATCTCTGCTATAGGACTTCTACCCGCATTTTCGACTTTTCTCCTGGAAAACTGGTTCACCTAATAGAGCCGAATATTTTTTTGTATATTGAAGAAGCATTAAGCTCTAAGATACTACAATTTTGTAACGATAGAGCACAGGACAACTGAGCCACGATTTTTTGAATCTGATAGACACACTGAGGGGATCTCTGCTATATAACTTTTACCTGCATTTTCAACTTTTCTCCTGGAAAACTGGTTCACCTAATGGAGCTGAATATTTTCTCATATATTCGGAAAGCATTAAGCTCTAAGATACTACAACTTTGTAACAATAGAGCCCAGAAACACAGAGCTACGATTTTTTGAATCTGATAGACACACTGAGGGGCTCTCTGCTATATGACTTTTACCTGCTTTTTCGACTTTCTCCTGGAAAACTGGTTCATCTAATAGAGCCGAATATTTTCCTCTATATTGGGATTACTTCTCGCTCTAGGATATTATAATTTTGTAACATAGAGCCTAGAACAACGGAGCTACGATTTTTTGAATCTGATAGACGCACTGACGGGATCTCTGCTATATGACTTCTACCTGCATTTTCGACTTTTCTCCTGGAAAACTGGTTCACCTAATAGAGCCGAATATTTTTTTGTATATATGGGAAGTTTTTATCTTTAAGATACTACAATTTAGTAACAATAGAGCTCAGGACAACGGAGTTGCGCTTTTTGAAACTGATAGACACACTAAGTAAATGTAAAATTTTGTAACAATAGAACCCAGGACAACGGAGCTACAATTTTTTGAATCTGATAGATACACTGGGAGGACTTCTGCTATATGACTTCTACCTGCATTTTCGACCTTTCTGCGGGAAAACTGGTTCACCTGTCTGACGTATCTGCGTGATTCTTCAGAAATTCTAGCGTTTAGAAAATAATGAATTTATGCGGGACTTTATGAACTCACTTTATAGTTCCGTACTAATTTTACCCTCGGATCTACCAATCGAAAACGCCATTAGTAATTTATTCTCGGAAAATATCTACTTTCTCAGTTCATCAAATTTTCTTTAGAGCCACCTTCCACCTGTTGGATGTAGCTATATGGAATTCCTACTATGCAATGAAAAAGCACACACAAAACACGATGGTGAGTCTTTTGGAGTTTAGACAAAACTTGGTTGACAATTACTTAATATTCCCAAGGAAATGAATGATGGAAGATCACAATGGAGACGTATAATGGAAAACAATGCAACATTTTTGAACCCTAATAGTGTACAACACTTTCCAGATAACATACCAAACGTGAAAGACCTTAACAAGAGTCATCATATGAGATTTAAGTTTTGCCTAAAAAACAAAACGCGTAAGGAAACTAAATTCTTATGCAAAACGTGTCCTGATAAACCAGCACTTTGTATTGTTCCCTGTTTTGAACTGTATCACAAAAGCTAGGTAGAGGAAACTGTTTTTTGACGAGACAGAAAACCAATTTTTCTCTCGAAAAGTCACTTCAAGATAAGACAAGAGAATACTGTCTCTTGTCGAAAATTTCTCGAGTTCTCTCGACCAATATAAATATATAACCCAGACGAGACGAGACAAGAGCTTTTTCATCTTTTGTCGTCATGAGAGACTCATTTTCTCTCGAACCTTCGAGAAAAGATGAGAGAGAGAAAGTATTGTTGTCTCGTCTCACTGCTTGTCCACGAGATTGTTGGATACATTCTTCTTTGACCAATTTTTCCCTGGAACTGTCAAAACTGCTTCTTTCTTGATGAATTTTGTACAAAGGCTTTTAAAAATAATCATTTTCAATCAATTTCAGTAAATTTTCAATAGAGCTGAATATTTTTTTGTATATTTGGGAAGCTTTTAGCTCTAACATACTAGAATTTTGTAATTATAGAGCCCAGGACAACGGAGCTACGATTTTTTGAATCAGATTGGGGTCCTCTGCTATATGACTTCTACCTGCATTTTCGACCTTTTTCTTAGAAAACTGGTTCACCTAATAGAGCAGAATATTTTTTTGTATATTCGGGAAGCTTTAAGCTCTAAAATACTACAATTTTGTAACAATAAAGCTCACGACAACGAAGCTACGATTTTTTGAATCTGATAGATACACTGAGGGGATCTCTGCTATATGACTTCTACCTGCATTTTCGACCGTTCTCCTGAAAAACTGGTTCATCTAATAAAGCCGAATATCTTTCTATGTATTTATAAAGCTTTTAGCTCTTACATACTACAATTTCATTACAATAGAGCCCAGGACAATGAAGTTGCGATTTTTTGAATCTGATAGACACACTGAGGGGATCTCTGCTATTATGACTTCTACCTGCATCTTCGACCTTTCTCCTGGAAAACTGGTTCACCTTATAGAGCCGAATATTTTTTTGATATTTAGAAAGGTTTAAGCTATAATATACTACAATTTTGTGATAATAGAGCCCAGGACAACAGAGCTACGATTTTTTGAATTTGATAGACACACTGAGGGGATTTCTGCCATATGACTTCTACCTGCTTTTTCGACCTTCTCCTGGAAAACTGGTTCACATAATAAACCCGATTATTTTTTTGTATATTTGGGAAACTTTTAGCTCTAAGATACAACAATTTTGTAACAATAGAGCCCAGGACAACAGAGCTACAATTTTCTGGATCTGATAGACACACTGAGGAGATCTCTGCTATATGACTTCTACCTGCATTTTCGACCTTTCTCCTGGAAAACTGGTTCACCTTATAGAGCCGAATATTTTCTTGTAAATTCGGGAAGCATTAAGTTCTAAGATATTACAATTTTGTAACAATAGAGCCCAGGACAACGGAGCTACGATTTTTTGAATCTGATAGACACGCTGAGGGGATTTCCGCTATATGACTTTTACTTGCATTTTCGACCTTTTTCCTGGAAAATTGGTTCACTTAATAGAGCCGAATATTTTTTTGGATATTCGAGAAGCTTTTAACTCTAACACACTACAATTTTATAACAATACAGTCCAGGACAACGGAGTTACAATTTTTTAAATCTGATACACACACTGAGGAGATCTGTGCTACATGACTTCTAGCTGCATTGTCGATCTTTCTCGTGGAAAACTAGTTCACCTAATAGAGCCGAATATTTTTTTGTAAATTTGAATAGCTTTTAGCTCTAACATATTACAATTTTATTACAATTAAGCCTAGGAAAACGGAGTTGCAATTTTTTGAATCTGATAGACACACTGAGGGATCACTGCTATATAACTTCTACCTGCATTTTCGACCTTTCTCTTGGAAAACTGGTTCATCTAATAGAGCCAAATATTTTTTTGTATAATTGGGTGGTTTTAAGTTCTAACATATTACAGTTTTATAATAATAGAGCCCAGGGCAATGAAGTTACGATTTTTTGAATCTGATAGACACACTGAGGGGATCTCTGCTATATGACTTTTACCTGCATTTTTGACCTTTCTCCTGAAAAACTGGTTTACCTAATAGAGCCGAATATTTTTTCACACATTTAGGAAGCTTTTAGCTTTAACATGCTACAATTTTATAGCAAGAGAGCTCAGAGCAACGGAGTTACGATTTTTTGAATCTGCTAAGACACACTGAGGAGATCTCTGCTATATGACTTTACCTGCATTTTTGACCTTTCTCCTGAAAAACTGGTTTACCTAATAAAGCCGAATATTTTTTTGTATATTTAGGAAGCTTTTAGCTCTTACATACTACAATTTTATGGCAATAGGGCACGGGACAACGAATTTGCGATTTTTTTAATCTGATGAACACACTGAGTGGATCTTTCTGCTATGAGGCTTGTACCTGATCTATTCCTGGAAAATTCATTTACCTAATTAATAGAGTCAAATATTTCCTTGTATATTCGGGAAATCTTCAGCTCCAAAACACCGGACAATGAAGTTATAATATTTTGAATCCGATTGACACCATTAATGGATCTCTCTGTCTTAAGCCTTTTACTACATTTTCAACTTTTCTTCTGGATATTTTTCTATGTATTGAAGAAAGAAGAAACTTCAGGCTCAAACAGCTAAACATACTAACTACAATTTCCGCTACATCAGTCTAGAAAAAATGGAGCTACAAGAAAAGCTAATAGAGAATTGGATGAAATAAGAACCTAAAGCTGAGAAAAATAAGAAATATTGGAAAAACGTTACGAAGAAGAAGAAATTACAGAGAGGAAGGCCAAACAAATTTAAGATAACAAGAAAAAGAAATGCTAAATTTGATAAAAAAACAAAAAAAACGACGAACAAATTGGGTACTCATTATACAGTGTATATCAGCTTTACTATCTTTTCAAGGTAGATATTTCTAATCTGTCGAAAAAACTAGGTATACAAAACACGACACGAGATCACAATCTCGGCGACTTGAAGAGTCATTAAATAACAATTTACACCGTATTTTCACCTCCCATGCGCCCATCGCCTTGGAAATCGTTTTGCTCTCGATTTATGTAACTTTTATCGATATTTAGGTCTAGGTTAAAGAGGGCTTGTCACAGAAAAACGAGTGAAGTAGCTTCTGAAACACGGAAAAGATGCTACTTTAAGGGAGTTTTAGGATTATCTTTGCCTATATGAAGGAGTTTCATTTTTAGCTTTCAAAAGAAACTCCCTATTATATAAGCATTATTTTAGAAGAAAAATAAAGCTATATAGAAACTTATCTCTAAGGTCAAATTTGCCTCAAATTTTTACTCTATTTTAACGAAAAACTCCTCGATGCAAAAACTCTTTATAACAAGAGCCCTTCAAATAAGCGCTGATCGAGCTTTATTCAACTTCATTACGATACAATTTGCTTGGATTTTTTTTGGTAATTTCATTTATTTATATCCTACACTCTATACAGAGTGACCAGATTCATATATAAAAGCCCTGAAGTAGAAAGTCTACAAAAGGGTGTGTAGACTATTGAAGAAATCTCATTTTCTTGTTTGTTCTTGTTTATTATAAAATATATTGAAACAAACAATAGGTAGCCCAATTATATATAGATAATTATTCTAATTTAAACCGCAAAACCTACGCTAATTAAGCAGCATTATAATAATCAGCAAAGGGAATTCCAAGCAAAATGATAGGTACACACTTTTAATTGTAATAAATTTTTAAATTAATTCCCATGGAAAAATAATGTTTGTTATAAGGAAATTTTGTCATTTTAATCTTTACAAAAACATAGTTTAATCTTGATGATAATTAATATATTCACAAAAGATTCCTTAATGAAGATTAATTATAAATAGGTAACTAATATCATTAGTATATTTTGAAAACCAATCAATCATTAATTGTTAAATTATTTAAATATGGGTAGTTGTAAAAGTGGCATGTCGATGGCAATCTTTTATTTTTTCTCTAATCAAGGAACTTAATTATTGTTATTTATAAGCTGTAATTAACAGTTTGTTAAGGAAATTTATTTATCCGGCTACTTTGAAAGCAGTTTCCATGTGTCAATTGATTAATGGATATAGAAATTCTCTTATAATTTTGGTAAGTAGATAGGTACCTACCTACATCATTTCTGTACAAGAAATCTTAATTTTGCATTAATTATATGAAAAAAAAAAAACTAGGTACTTCCTTTATACACACCAAACAAACAAAATCAGATCATTGTCTTCTTGAATTTACTTCGCACTCGGATGAATCTGACCGTGGCTGAAAAGCTTATGAAGCTCATCAGATGAATAGATTAGAACCTTTATATAAAACAACCGGTAATTTAAGAATTCTTTTCAGTCGTCGCGTTGATTCAAGAGTTAATTATTTATTGCAAAGTAAGTTTTGAAATGTTGTTTTTCTCACTCGTGTTTTTAATTATGATATTGTTTTGACAAGCTCCAAAATCGTTCTTTGTTGAAATATTTGTTGAATAGTTTCATCTACAAACCGTGTGGTAAGTACATTATTACTGCACTCAAGATTTTAATACTTTACTGCACGGTTTTAGATAATAATATGTTACTACTTATTGGTAGATACTCTAGTTTTATAATATTACACATTTCAGATTATGGCAAATCTATTAGGAAAACTAATTTGGATATTCATAATTTGCGAGGCATTAGCTCAACAGGCTCCCAATATAATTTTCATAATCGCCGACGATTTGGTAAGTACATACACAAAATAGTTATTTTGGCTACGACCCAGTAAATAATGGTAGAGATTTCAGTTAATACCATCTAATACTAGCCCTTATCAAGAGCTATACAATTCCTGAAAATTTTGATGAGATATTCAGGTTTGAAGATTTGGAAATGAAAACTTTTGTAAATTTTTGGGTTATTCTCATTTTTGACTCTAGAAATCGATAGAGCAGGTTCAAATTAGTCAGAAAAAATAGTGGCATCAGTTAAATTTAGAAATTTCGATGAGAGAAAAAAATCCAAAAGGAAATCTAATTTTTGGCTCTGAAAATTTTGTGAAATCTTGACACGCTCATGAATAATTGCTTATATCTTGAATTATATTCAAGTAAATTAGTGATAACTATACATCATTGGAAAGAGCATTAAATTTTCTATAAACCTCTGTAAAATTGAGTATTGTGGCTTGTGGGGCTTTAGAGATATTGAGCTTCAAATTTGAAATTTAGTCTACATTTTGTCCAAAACTTCAAAGTCGAATTTCTCAAAAACTATAAGTGGTAGGGGTTTTAGTTGAATACCATCTAAAAGCCCTTATAAAGAGCTACAATTTCTGAAAAAAATTTCCCCAGTACTTCTTTTGGTTACCGAGATATTCAGGTTTGAAGATTTGGGAATCAAACTCCAAAAAATTGGAAATTTTCATTTTTGGATTTTTCCCAATTTTGACTTCATAATTCGATAGAGCAAATCTAAATTAGTCAGGAACAACTCTGATATCAATTAAATTTGGAAATTTCGATGAGAAAAAAAAAATCCGAAAGTAAATCTCAGTTTTGGTTCTGGAAATTTTGTGAAATCTTGACACGGTCATGACTAATTGCTTATATCCTCACTAACATTTAAGTAGATTAGTGATAACTATACATCATTGGGAAGAGCATTAAATTCTCTACAAACTTGTACATAATTGGGTTTTGTAGCTTGTAGGGTTTCAGAGATATTGTGCTTTAAATTTGAAATTTAGTCTACATTTTGTCCAAAACTTCAAACTCGATTTTCTCAAAAACTCTAAGTGGGAACGGTTTTAGTTAAATACCATCTGAAAGCCCTTATCAAGAGCTACAATTCCTGAAAAAATTTCCCCAGTACTGTTTTTGGTTACCGAGATATTCAGGTTTGAGGATTTAAAAATCAAACTCCAAAGGCGACACCCTTAGAAAAAAGTGCAAAAAATTGAAAATTTTTATTTTTGGATTTTTCTCAATTTTGACTTTAGAAATCAATAGAGCAGGTGCAAATTAGTCAGAAACAACTGTGGCATTAGTTAAATTTAGAAATTTCGATGAGGAAAAAAATCCAAAAGGATATAACATTTTTGGCTCTGGAAATGTTGTGAAATCTTGACACGCTCATGAATAATTGCTTATATCTTCAATTATATTCAAGTAAATCAGTGATAACTATACATCATTGGAAAGAGCATTAAATTCTCTATAAACCTGTGCCATTGCAATTGGGTTTTGTAGCTTGTAAGGTTTTAGAGATATTGAGCCTCAAAGTTGAAATTTAGTCTACATTTTGTCGAAAACTTCAAACTCTATTTTCTCAAAAACTATAAGTGGTAGCGGTTTCAGTTAAATATCATCTGAAAGCCCTTATCAAGAGCTATAATTCCTGAAAAATATTTCCCAGTACTGCTTTTTGGTTACCGAGATATCCAGGTTTGAAGATTTGGAAATCAAACCCCAAAGGGGTAACCCTTAGAAAAAAGTGCAAAAAATTGAAAATTTTTATTTTTGGATTTTTCTCAATTTTGACTTCAGAAATCGATAGAGCGAGTCTAAATTAGTCAGGAATAACTCTGATGTCAGTTAAATTCAGAAATTTCGATGAGAGAAAAAATCCAAAAGCAAATCACAATTTTGGCTCTGAAGTTTTTTTGAAATTTTGTTACGCCCATGAATAATTGTCCATTTCTCCGATGACATTTGAGAAACTTGCCTACAATTATACATTATTGGAAAGAGCATTGAATTCTCTATAAGCTGTGAGAAATTAGTTTCTTTAGTTTGTGGAGTTTTCGAAATATAGAGCTTCAAAGTTACGGTTTATTGTTTATTCAAAGTATGGAACATAATTCGTGCTACAATGTGGAATTACATATTGGAGCAATTTGTGCATAATTTTCCATTCACAACATACGTTACCTACTTAAGAACGGACGAGAAAAGCAATTTACCACACTCATATTTTGACTGCGAGAAGTATCTGGTATTTTTGATTGCGACGAAGTTCCCTATAAATGCAATTTCAAACTTTGAGCTTTTTTTCCATCTTCAATGATCAACATTTGATTTTAAATTGAAATTTGAAGTTCTAGTAAATTTTTCAAGTGATCAAGAGCTGATTATCATCAAAATTTGAACTATTACCGGCTCTTGATTGTCTAGACAAATTCTCTAGCTAATCAAAAGCAAAAAATAATCAAAATTTGAACTTTTATCGACTCTTAATTGTCTAGGCAAATTCTCCACTAAATCGAAAGCCGATGATTAGCAAAATTTGAACTATTACTGACTCTTGAATGTCTACCCCAAAATTCCTCAGCAACACAAGAGCCGGTGATAATTAAAATTTGGGTTTAAAAGTGAAATTGGGAACTTTAGATAATTTCCAGCTGATCAAGAGTCGCTAATAATCAAAATCTGAACTATTACCGGCTCTTGATTGTCTAAACAAATTCCCCAGCAACACAAGAGCAGGTAATAACCGAAATTTGAACTATTAGTGGCTCTTGATTGTCTATAAAATTCCCCAGCAACTCAAGTGCCGGTAATAATTAAAATTTGAACTTTTACCGGCTCTTGATTGTCCAGAGAAATTTCTCAGCTGATCAAGAGCCGGTAATAATCAAAATTTGGATTATTATCAGCTCTTGATTGTCTAGACAAATTCCCTAGCAACACAAGAGCAGGTAATAAACAAAATTTGAACTATTTCCGGTTCTTGATTGTCTGGAGAAATTCCCCAGTTAATCAAAATCCGATAATAATCTAAATTCGAACTTTTCCGAATTTTTACCGTCTCTTGATTGCCTATACCCAGCAAACATCGAACCATCCCATAGGTATCAAATATATACCTTGAGGTATGCGACGTACAAACACTAAATTCCACGAACATTTCAAAGATCACGCAGGAACTGCCAGATGTCCGCCTCAAGGATAGGTATCTTATGTTATATGAAAAGCAAACGTCCCATAGAAGTCTCGGAAGAACATCCATAGTTCGTCTCAAGGATATCTTATGTTATATGAGAAGCAAATATCCCATAGAAGTATTGAAAGAACATCCACAGTAAATCATTTTATAGCCTTTAATGCGAATGAAATACAAATTATTTGGATAATTATTATTGACCTTTACCTAGTTCCAATCCAAAAATTGATGAAAATAGAAAGTCCAATGGCCGTTTGCACCGACCATTTTAAGGAAGCCTTAGCGATAAGTATTCCTTAAAGTGACATTTCTCCATGTAGAAACATTAGGAATACTTATTTCTAAGGCTTCCTTAAAATGGTCGGTGCAAACGGTCACAAGTATACAGGGTCATTCAAAAGTAAGCGGCATCCTTTCGGAGGCGTATTCCTTGCATAAAAATAAGACAAAAAGTTCCTATTAACAATGGTCCGGAAATGCTTCTTAAGGGAGCTACGCCCCTTAACCTAAAAGACATGTTTTTCTGTATAACTTTGAAACCCTTCACAAATAGATTTTGAAAATTGGTATATTTTATAAACATTTGATGGCAATTAAGATACTAAATTGAAAATTCAAAAATCTTAATCAGTGTCACATACTGGAGAGGGTGAAAACATCCCTATTTTTTTTTTACTCGTCAGGTTTTTGCGAAACATACGCAAATCAGAAAATTTTCAGTCATTTTTCTCGTAAACGGTACGCTGTATCAAATTGAACCAAGAGTACTGTTAAGAAGAAGTATTTGAGTTTTATTCTCCCGCTATAATTAGTTAGTTCTGTTCACCTAATTATTACCTATAGAACCTGTAATGATTAGTATTGTCATTGTGAAATTGTCATTGTCACGCGTATTTGTCACGTATCTTTTCATTATAGTTAGACTCATTTCACTGTATTTTATTAAACCTCAATAGGTTCATCTAATAGGTTACGGTCCCAGTTCACGTGCGAGTCTAAAACATTAACTTTCGTCATTTTAAATCGCGTTCAAGTAGTGAGTGATTTTTATTTCCGAGAAATTACGTTCAAGTCGTAAAACAAATAAAGATTGTGAAAATGGCAAGTTCTGTGAAAATTGATACGTGCAGCATTCCGAAATTCGATGGTACAAACTTTCAGCTTTGGAAGTTCGGCATAACAATCCTATTAAAAGCTGAAAAACTTATGAAAATTGTTGATGGAACCACGAAGGAACCAGATGATGAAACTAGTGCCGAGTGGGAAGCCTTGGGACACAAAAAACACCAAGGCGCAGGTAATTTTGTTATCAACAATATGCCAGGAACAAATGCAACATCTCATTAACTGCGATGACGCAACAAAAATGTGGAATAGGCTGATTTCCATTCATGAACAGAAAACAGAAATATCACGAGATATGGCAAAAGTTTTATGAATATAAAATGCCAGACAATGGAAATATTGCCGAACACATTTCAGCTATTGAACTTTTAGTACGACAGCTAAAAGACGTCAAAGAAACTATAAGCCCTAGCGCTATCTGTTCGAAGGTTATAAACAGTTTACCATCTAGATTCAATGCATTCAGAACTGCTTGGGATTCCGTAGCCAGTAACCAACAAACGTTTGAGAATCTTTCTGCTCGTTTATTAAAAGAAGAAAGCCGCATGTCTCATGACGATTCCGAAATGTCTCGTCTTGCACTCGAAGTCAAAGCTCTACAAAGCAAATTAGAATCTGTTACTGTAAAATTGTAATTGTCATTGTCACGCGAATTTGTCACGTATCTTTTCGAATG